TACCACGGGATGTCAATCCCGTGGCAAAAGACAGAGAAACAAATACAAACATAATTAGCGTAGCTGCTGTACCAACCAAACAAAATTGTAACATAAATACATAACAGCTTGAAACTGCAAAAAATTACCAATGTTTCATAGGCAAATACTAATAAAATGGTGCCCTTGTGCTCCAGGATAGCTGTATACCAAGTATAAGCCACAAACTCCAGTCCAAAGTCAAGTAGGCAATCTACCCGAGTAAGATGGAGTCAGTAGGGCCGACAAAGGCACGTTGAACTGATTCCTACAGCACAAGCAAATATTGATTCGGTGAGGGGTTGATGAGTTTGTGTGAACATTATACCATCAGGCAAAGAGAATGGGAAATCCAAAAGACGCAAGGCCAGCGAGTCTGGCAAAGCCTGTCAGTAGCAAGAGGATGCCTGATCACTTTTGTCCAAACCCCATTACTTCATCATAATATGATCTGGAAGACCAATCTTTTTGCATAGACCTTGCACTTACGAAACAATTCCTTGCATACTTTATTCAATGTAATTAGTGATTGAAGAATAAAATAAATAGTAAAAAGTTGCAGCTAATGATCAGCTACTACTGAGTGTCCCTGCTTACGCTTGAAAACAGACTTCATTTTCTTTATGCAATTATTTGTTTATTTTCTTTTGATTTTGTGAGATTCACCCATTAGTTTCTGACAGGAGGGTATTGGAAGATATATGGATAAACACAATTTCAATCCATAATAATTTTTGTCTAAATTACTAATCATCTTTTTTCGTATGTTACAGAAGTACTAGGGTAATAGCAGTTCAAATCCAAACACACTGACGATAACGATAGTGTAAAACAGAATAAATCACCTTTGAATACAACCGATTTATAAAAAAAAAAAAAAGATTCATTAAAAAACGATGACCGAGTCATTGAATCATTCAACCGATTCACTTCACTCTAATTAACCATTATTTGTATTTAAAAACTTTAACACATCAGTACTGTCATTCTCCTAGAGGCATATAATGTCTAGCCTAATTTATCTATAAGTAGGTCAGGGAAACTACCTTAAAATCTTGTACAATAAATATTTCCATTAATAAAGCATAACATTTAAACTACCATATTTACATATTTTGATTCACATACTCCCTATTTTTTTTTTTATCTTATTCCATTTTTAAAATAGACTGAAGCAAAGAACATTTTGTGAAAGCCTCGAGTAGGCTAATAAATAACTTTATTTATATGTACAGCAGGTTTGTGAAAGACTGAGGGTGTATTCACTTGTTTGGTTCGATTCGATCGAACTCAAGTCCGACTCCCCCCTTGGTGCAGATCTTTTGGGCAAGTGTGAATACCATATAGACTGTAAAAGCAATCGCACTCAAGTGCGGACCAAACAACCACACCGATCCAGCTGAAGAGGTGGTCTGGGTCCGGGTCCGGGTCCAGTTCCGGTTCCGGTTCCAAACAAACTCTGGTACGCTTGAGAATTTCTGTCCTATGAATGGATGACCTTAGCACACGTGTGGTTCTGTTTACAATTTTTGGTTCACTTGCAAAAAGGGCAGTGTGAAAGCGAACCACACCAAACAAAAAATCAACATTGTATTTGGTCCGGACCAAAGCAAGTGAACTAGCGGACTTTCCTGGTGTGAAATAAACAATCATATCTATCAAATGATTAGCGAAGACGCTTCTAGAAATGCTTGTTAAATGCCAATGAATCCCACCTGACGAACTCTAATAAAACTTACCATCGATTTGAGAGTGCTGTATCCCCAAAGAACACATTCAAACCGACCTCAGGGGACAGGGAATGAATTAATGATGCGACCTACTTCAAGAATATGGAATATGGAATTTTATATTTCTGAGAAATCTCATAACCTACTCACCGCTCTAATGTGACTGTAACTCATTTCGAGACACAATTTGAAGGACCAATCAAAAAGGCGCAGGGGGCGAACGCGCCATCTAATAGGATCATAGTTGCCATGCGGTTGCCGTGGTTTTTCAGAAAAAAAGGAACATATAAAGTGACCTGCCTGTATACAGAGGAACTACGCCATTTTTTGTGTAGTGCAATTGTTTTTGCTGCACTAACCATAGTTTAACCATGGTATTTGTAGTAAAATCTCAGTTTGTCCTACTGTAGGTGAATAAAATAGCATGACTAATGCGTGAAAGCATTCAATTATTTTAACCATTGTTTAAAAACCAAGAAAATCCTAAGCATGTGCTGCAGAATTCCCAAAATGCAACTTTGCATTCATTCTCCTATTTCTGATTAGGTTTGTGATGTGGACTAATTATTAGATAAACAGCAGAACTTCGGACAAATCCTGAAACATGTTCTGAAGTCAAGCTTAAAGTCATGTATTTGCCAGCTTACACTACAGAACCATCTTGTACAATGTTGAAATAGGTTCCTTATTGCATAGTTTCCATAAAGCATCCCTCAAATGTGCATGTGCTGAAATATTGCTTGTTAATCCATTAGAGTTAGAGTTTAATCAGACCTAGCACTCAGTCCTTTTAAATTTCTTTTTATGTTCTCCTTTGGCCAATTCACAGTGCTCTCTCTGTATTTAATATAATAGATAAATTGCACCCCAATTGGCTTTTATAACATTTTGGCAGTCATATCAATATTATTGAAGTGAGAGTTAGTGAGACGGAGTCTTAGGAGAGCTGGCCTACTTTAGCGTTTCAGCTGACAGTGTGCATGCGCGTGCATCTGTGGTTCCTCCAATCAAACCCTCGGCTCATATCACTACACAGTGAAGACTGGACTGTTCTCTGGCTCGGAAAAGGACAGCTGGTAAAATAAGGAATGGATGGATGCAAAGATGAAAGAGGCAATAGATGGGAAAAAGGTCAAGGTTTGCAGACGAACAGTGCAGTGAAACCTACAGAGCAAATAATCACTTTGGTTTTGGTTTCTTGGACACTTCACCCATCTGGAGTTAGTTGGACAATCAATTTCCTTCAATCTCATGCCATTGGTTTATGTCAATGTTGCTATGTCAGGCCACTTAAACTAGGAATATTTTTAAATTGCCAAAGTGTTTACACAAGGAAGAGGTCACAGTTGTTTATGCATATAAAGCTGGAATATGAGCATTTATTAATCTAGACTATACAGCCTAAAACTCATCAAGATGCACATACTGTACATTTTTGTGCATTCGTATTTGTACTGTACCTATCCAAACGTGGAAAACTTCCTTGCTTTTATAACGCATCATCATTTTAATACACAAAATGAACATGAAATGCATGACAGTTGGTAAATCTAAAATTACATAATGATCACAGCGCATTGCGCTTTCACGACTACACTATGAAATGCATTATGCATGAAACATTGAAAACAATGTCTATTACTTATTAAAGGGGTTTCTACCAGATTCTATCTCATCGCTGCTATTTTAAGGCACCTCTTACAGTTACAGTCAATAACCATATTGATTTTATGTTTCAATTCATGAAAGATATGATAAAATTGTTTCTGTTGTGTGAGAGAGATGACTTAGCATTTCACTTCTGTCATAAGCAAGTCCAGTCAGAATGTGCATGTTTATCTGATTTTGAAGGGACATTCTTGGAATTCTTCAAAACTGGTCAAATGTGGTAACGTGGAATAATAAATAATTGTGATCAGACAGATAAACGCCAGATAGTATAGACTGGAGATGTTTATTACTATTTCTACCATGAGGATATTCAGACATACAGCTCATGATGGGAAAGCCTTTATTACAGTCATTTAAAACATTATGTAATGCCTCATAATACAAAAAAACAAAGAGACCAATCTGAAGACAGTCCCTGCTGTTCTACTGGCTGAGACGACTGATGTGAGGAAACCATATTGTTATGCTTCCTGCAGTTAAACAGCATGGTGATCTGTTTTTTTTCCCAGGTTATCCTTCATTTTATCCATTAGGAATTGATGTGATGGTGAAAAGTTTCATGTAAGAATGAAAACAGATTGATTTTAAAAAGGCTGCAATGTTGTAACCTAAAACAATGGCTAAAAAGCTACAGTATTCGACTGCTGGTCAACATTAACTAATAGCTAACCTGGACGAGGTGACATAAGCAGAAAAAAAAAGTTTCAGGCAGAGTAACGTATTACATTTTGATGAAATATTATGAAAACAAACATAATTTTACTGTGTTTGGCAGCATGTTTGCTAGTGGTTCAAAAAAATGGTGTAAAACATTTTTTTTTGCTAACAGACCATCCATACATTAGAACAGTTTGAATTGTGATATTATTTTCAGTTCTTACATTACTGTAATGCAAAAACATCTCATTCTCATTGAATAAAATCAATCTCTCCAGACAATATTTAAAAATACATACAGTATAATTAAATTCTGTTAAACACATGTTATATGCAAAATTATATTTTAACATGTTCTTTAACTTGTAAATAATACTTGTTTTTAATTACAATAATGAGAATTTGGGGTAAAATGTTTTATTGTCATGAAAATAATGTTGCAATGCAAATATAATTTTGCATTTAAAGGGGTCATATGATGTGATTTCAAGTTTTCCTTTCTCTTTGGAGTGTTACAAGCTGATTGTGCATAGATAAGATCCCTGAAGTTGCAAAGACTGAAGTCTCAAAACCAAAGAGATATTCTTTATCAAAGAATGGCATATTCTGTTACACCAAATACACAAAATAATGATCTTTAAAAAAGCATCATATGACCCCTTTAATCTTTTTGATTTAGGGGTGAAATATGAGCATGTTTTCTAGAGATTGGTGTGTACACAGTGGTTGTGATTTACTACAAGTAGAAGGGAGGAGGATGAGAAAGGAGACAAGGATGAAAAGGAGTGATGTAAAAAATGAGATGGGAATGCACTATGGGAATCCATCCTCTCCTACCTGTAGTTTACAAAGACTAGAAGTTGCAAGACATTAAAATGGAATTTGCTTTTGTGAACAAGCTCAAAGTACCGTTGTGATCTGCCTGTGTGTGTGTGTGTGTGTGTGTATGTCGTAGTGCTCAGGGCTTCTTTGTCGTGCTAGCAGTCACTGCGCTGCCTGTGTTAACAGGGATGTTGATTTCAGAGCCCAGGATGGCAGGTTTGGGCAGAGGAGCTTCAATGGTCAGGACGCCCTCAGGAGACAGAGAGGAGGTGATCTTCTCAGAGTCCACACCAGAGGGCAGACTGGAACACAAGACAATCCGATTACATTCATGAAATCACAGCTCCAGACAAAAGGTCGTCTTTAGACAAGCATCACATCAAATTTAAAATCTATATGACTTATCTAGAGAATATTTTCTATTATATTTGTCCTATTTATTTCATTAGGTCTAAAACTACTACACTAAAATTAAGTTATTTAAGTTATTGGAGTATGTTTTACAATAAAAAATAAATAAAAAAACTATTCCAGTTTTTCTTTCTTCTTGCCATTTTGTTGTAATTGTGAAATTTACTAACAATTTATCTGAGTGAAATTTGTTTCTAAACCTAATTTTGTCATTAACGTATCTGAAGTAACAAATTTTGCAATGAATGCAAATACTTTTTCATTGAAGTATCTGCCATACACTTACAAAAAAAATGCAATTAAGAAGATAAAAAAAAAAATGCATTTCAAAGCTCTTGAAACTCAAAAGAAATTAACACAAATATGACCACAGGTCCACAGACAGTTTCAGTTCTTTTAAAAACAGATGTGATATAGTATGCAATGTGATGCATGATTCATTGCCAAACCTGTCCCACCCCTTTAGTATTCTCAGGACACTGTGTCTCTTGATCCTCCCTATCAAGTGTGCTTCATGGGCAGATCTTTAGCATCTCAGTACTTACGTGTATTTCCTGGTAAAACATCTGGACACAAAGCCATGTTCATCCTTCCTCTCCTCATGTTTGCCTGCAAGCAAATCACATGGAAAAGAAAAAAACACAATTTAATTATCTTTAAACTCCCTCAGATTCTTCAAAACAGCAATGACTGAATTAAAATTTCTCCAACATTAGATAAAATGATCTAAGCTGCTATCCACATATATACTCTTACTGTGTACCAGCAGCTATCTCAGTTGTGTCTATTTTTATTTATTAGAAACCACACGTATTTATAAGTTTTTATAACTATAAGCAAAAAGAGGATTTTGCATACAAAATGTTTATACTTGAATGGTACAAAGCTGAGAACTTAAGTCTCTGGCCTCTGCATTCTGCACATGCTGCTTTAACTGCATTGTGCTCTTGTTATGTAATATCTCAGAAATTTCTCGGGAAAATCATCTCCCACCCTACAGAAGATAAAAGTTCTCCCAGCAAAGTCTGTTATTCAGCAGCCTTTTTTGTTATTTTACTTCACACTCGACCACCTCTTTTCCTTTGGGAAGCCTACTTCTTCCACAAAAAGAAAAAAGCATGCTTTGGTATACCACAATTATGACAGAAAATGTCAAATTATGAGACACAAAGTCATAGTATCTCATAATTTCTTGTGTCAATATTTTAACTTTTTATCTGATAACTAAGTCATAATTATGAGATAAAAAAGTAAATTCTAACAAAGTGTCAAGATGACGACAAGTAATAATTATGAGACAAAAAGTTTAAATTATGAGATAAAAAGTCATAATTGATACAAAAAGTCCAAATTATGAGATACTAAGACATAATTATGAGATAAAAAAGTAAATTCTAACAAAGAGTCAAGTCAATGATGACAAGTAATAATTATGAGACAAAAAGTTTAAATTATGAGATAAAAAGTCATAATTGATACAAAAAGTCCAAATTATGATTATTACTAAGTCATAATTATGAGATAAAAAGAATTATAATAAAAGTCAAAGTGATAATAAGTCATAATTATGAGATAAAAAGACAATTATAATAAGTTAAAGTGATACTAAGTCATAATTATTAGATAAAACTCAATGATGACAAAATTATATGAGACACAAAGTCATAATTTTGAAAGTTGAAATTCTGACATTAAAAAGTCAAAATTATGAGATATTAAATCATGAGATAAAAAATGAAATTATTACATAAAATATGAAATGATGACATAATATACTAAGTCAAAATGATGACATAAAATTTCATAATTATAACAGTCAAATTATATGTCATAATTAGTTTTATCTCGTAGTATTGACATCTCTTATAATTTTTTTGTCATAATTATGATTTTTTTTTCTTCTTAATGTAGCAGAAATGGGTTTCCATACCTCCTGGACATTTCCTGCCAAAACAACTAAACAAATCAGATCTAATTTCCTTCCTGAAAGTAAAATATTAACCTTTACAGTAGTTTTCACACACTACAGTTCCCACAAAAAGCATCTGGACACACAACATGTCTGAATATTATTCGTTATATACTGTAGAGAAGATCTTTTTCCCTCACTAGAGTTCACTTTTCTGCATCATGTTTGAATTCTCAATGTGTTTGAATGAGCTGGTGTTTTGGTGATTTTTAGTGGATGTATGAATCAGTTCACACAGGTGTAAATAATCACATTAACTAGCAACATCATCCACTAACTAACACGATACTGACCGTCTTCAACACTACATCTATTGCTATTGCATCTATGTCAAACCGAACAAGCTTATTTTTGTGAAATGCATCTTTCTCTACAATAAATAACTCTTGCTTTCTTCACTCTTGGATCTAATGCAATGACATTCAGACATTTGTAAGGGTGTCATCAGTGTTCAAATACTTTTTGAGACACTCTTCTTGGGCTAAATTGTGAAATTATGAAGCAAAGTGCTCACCGGTGATCTCCACCACCCCATCTTTTGTCTTCACCGTCAGCTCCTCTGGGGCAAAGTGATTGACATCCAGGCTGATCTTCCAGGCGTCCGGCGTCTGCTTTATCTCAGACATTCCTGAGCTCATCTGTCGGGACAGGGCCCGGCTGTAGTTCGGGGGGTGCATCATGGTCACAGAGGGCGACATCGGAGCCATTGGGCTCTGCATTAAAGGGGCCATTTCGGGAAATCCAAAGGGCCGAATGTATCCGGGCCAGTGTGTGGTGGGGAAAGTGGGCATCTCCTCAGAGAAGGGCGGCATCCCGAAAGCTTGATCGAAGACCCGGCTGCCCTGGTACCAGTCGCGGAAAGGGTCCCAGGATGGGCTGTGCATGAAGCTGAAGGGAATGCGTCTCTCGGCCATGGCTGAAGTTTGTTCTTGCTCTGAAAGTTTTCTGGAAAGTGCTGTGTCCTGTTTGGAAGTGCTGAGATTTATAAGAACGTTCTCAGTCGACACTCCCCTTTCCACACTAATGCAACCCCCCCCTCCCATCCAGATATTTATAGAAGTGACCAGAATGTCTATTCACGGACGGCCTCGCACGAGAATGGAATCCAAGGCAAAGGCCTTCCCAAAGCCGGCACCGTTCCTTTCCTGGATGGTTGAACCTGCCTGACTGTCTCACAAACACATTCTCTTGTCATGACACAGACGCAGAGGAATCTGGTGATCAGTGTAAAGCGCACAGAGCGAGTCAGCAGAAACCCACCCCTCTGATAACACAAAGGTGACCAAACACACATGCACCGATTTCCAGAAGGAATTAGATGAATCTGCACAGAGAACACAAAACAGAGGAAATAAAATACAGGCACGCAGGGTTACACTGGGAAAAAAAATTATTGGTGTAGGATTTATTTTTCACTCAATTTTTACTTTTAACTCTGAATTTTCTAGTAATTTCACAAATAATTACTAAGAAACATCAATAGTAAAATTAGAAAGACTGAAATAATAATAATAGTAATAAATAATTTTCTTGTAAAATGTAATTTTTGGTTTAATGTATAATAATAATTTTAAAAAATTAATAACAAAAATAACAAAATTAATTTTGTTAATTTAAACTTAAACTAGTAAAATACCTAAAACGAAAATAAATTAAAAAATGATAAAAAAAAATACAATAGACATAAAAAAACAACAAAAAACATAAAAAAAATTAAACAAACAACAGAATGATTTAAATTTGAATTACAATTAAAATGAAAACACAAAATATAAAACTAAAAACTAACTTAAAATATTAATAAAAGCTGTATTAGTATATAATAAAATAACACTGCAGACAAACAGGGAAACATACTGTAAAAATCAAACAAATGTAGAAAAGCTAGAAAAAATGACTTTTTTTTTTGTCATTTTACTGAAATAAAATTAAGCTAGTTGCCAAGGCAACAATTCTCATTTTCATTTAGTTTTACTTCATGTAGTAAAATAAATACAACTAAATAAATTAAAGCTAAATAAAATTAATAAAAACTATATAGATATATTTTTTAAAAACTAATAAAATTGACAAAAACAACATAATTACTAAACTAAAATTAAAGTGGAAACAAAAAATCGAATTCAGAATATTAACAAAAACTATATCAGAATATCAATGGTACTGAAATAACAAAGGGAGGTTTTATTAGATTTATTTGATTTCTCGGACTATATCATCACATCTTCATGAATTATATCATATATTAAAGTGAAATATAGAGTAATGATGCATGTGTATCACATGTTTAATTAAACCCTCCAACAGTGTTGCAGCACTTTCATTTCTGCATTAAACTCAGACTGTAAATCTCCTGACTGCATGAACACCTCAGTGTCACAGTACATGAGCATCGTGTACGACGCTTCGCAAAAAATGCATTCCTGGAGGCCAAACAGTAGGGAGTTAGCAACGCCAGGGTCATGGGTTCGATTCCCAGGAAATGCATGAACTAAACTATAAAGTGTAAACCTTTAATGCACCGCAAGTTGCTTTGGATGAACGTGTCTGTCAAATACATTAATGTAAGTACACCGATTGCACAGATTGTTTCCGATTGCAATAAGATACAAGAAACTATGAAAATATACAGTAATGAAGATGGACTGACAATACAATACAATATCTGCAGCTAGATATAAAGATATCAAGATTAATAAATAGCTAAAAAAGAACACAAATTTTCAATAAAATGAATTCATTTAAACACTTTTATCCAAACTTACAAATGGATAAAAGTGGTTTTAGCAGCTTTTATGGAGTTTGAAACGTTCAGTAAATAAAATTCTGGAAGAAACTAATGGAAGGCATTATAGAAATGACTAGAAAATGTCATTTGAGCCACTGGTTTAGTGCCACAGGACTAAAAATACAACTGATCCGTTTCCCCAGGTGATCGGCAGGAACCTTCCAGTCTTCCAGACACAAATCCAGATCACATGAGCATCTACCACAGCATCAGTAACGCCATCTAGTGCCGAAGACACTGAAGACTCTCAAACTGCAATTTCTGCAGCATATAGAAAGTATAAAAATAGTACAAAATGAACACTGTACAATATTCCATGTGCTAGTATTCCATTCTACAGTAAGCACTAGAAACGTGTTATTTTAGTATTGGTTATACATTATTATAGCTTTTTAATAACGTTTTGAATGAACTTTTATTTTTATATTTTCAGTTTTCATTTTAAGCTGATGTTTTTTTTGTAATTTGGTTATGAGCTGCTGTCATTTTATTTTATTTTTTTCATTTTTGTTCTTTTTTTTTTAAATATTACTATTTAGGATGTTTTTCTTCTTCTTTTTATGCTATTTAGGATACATTTATTTCAGTTTTATTTATTTATTTATTTATACACTATTATAATTGTAGTATTATTATTAATACATTATTATTATTCATCTATTATTATTATTATTATTATTTATATTTATTATTATTAAAGTTTTTAGTTCGTTTTATTTTTAGTTTAAATTTTTTCATTTTCATTTTTTTTCTTCTTTTATCTTCTTTTTTATACTATTTAGTATAATTTTTGTATTTAGTTATTTATTTATACACTATTATAATTGTATTATTAATAATACATTATTATTATTATCATGTTTTATTTTTGTTCTTTTTTTAAATATTACTAGTTAGGAATAATTTATTTCTAGTTTTTTTAGTATTTATATTTTTAGTTTATTTATTTAATTATTTATACACTATTATAGTTTTTATTGTTTTGAATTAGCTTTTATTTTGATATTTTCAGTTTTAATTTTAATCAGATTTTGTAATTTTTCAATTTTTTTAATACTATTTTGGATTAATTTGCCTTATTTCAGTTTTGTTTTTATTTATTTATACACTATTATAGTTTTTTATTAATGTTTTGAATTAGCTTGTATTTTAATATTTTCAGATTCATTTTATGCTAATGTTTTAGTAATTCTGTCATGGGTCTTTTTTCTCTTTTTTTTCTTCAATTTTAGTTTTAGTTTTTTTTCCAATCAGAAATGTTAGTGCTTCAACCTAGTTGACAAGTCAACATTTAAAATTGCATAAGTTCTAATATTTTTATTTTGATGTTTTTTATTTTATTTTATTTTTATCTTTTATTTCATTCAGCAGAACTGTTTTAATAGTAGTTTTCAATAATAACCCTGACAACAAACAAACGGAAACTCAAAATCAAGAACAGCACATGAAGATGATCCATTTGCAGATACTTTTATTATGTGTTTAATTATGACTGGTCACTAAATCTACTGACTTTATACAGTTGGGAAGTTAGAGCCGTATCAACTCATGTGATGAACTCAACAGCTGTTTGTAAATCAAATAACACTGAAAAAGGAAGACTGAGGTCCTGCATCACAAGGTTAAAGTTCACTGTCATCCGCTTCCTTTATTAGCTCTTTCCAGAACTCACAGGAAGATTGAGAAAGAAGAAGAAATCACTCCATTCGAAGGAGGGAATGAGAGAATAAATAGTACAATAAATCATAATAAATATTTGCAAAATGCAAACTCGTAAAACAACAATCAGTCTTCTGCTTGAAAAAATCATTTCACAACAATTCATCTCGGTTCTGCATTTAAGGTCAACATGAAACTCATTTTATTTCCAAAATTGTGATGCATTTCAGAGTGCAACAGCTTTTTAAAGTAGGATTATAGAAAAATGCAAGATAGAAAATGCATCAGGAATGAATTGGACGATGAAGTTTCTCTGTATGGCAGATGCTTGAGAGGTACAACGTATTTTTGAAGTTGTTTCAGGGACGAAAAATCATGAAGAATCTTTGGAATAACGTGCATTGATGAATCATATAAGACCAGAAGCATTACGAAAGCAAATCGAATCAATTCTGATTTCATGTTGACTTTAAAGAACGCAGAAGCTTGTCATTGGAAACGGTCAAAAATGTGTTTCCAACGTGATTTGCAAACCGAAAAATGTGCAACTCCTTATAAAAACAGTTTCTCAGAGTCCAAATTAATAAATAACAAAATAAATACGCAACACATAATAAATAAATAGCATCACAATGAATAAGTCACCGAATAAATATGCTGAAAAAGACATGTGCGTGTATATTTTTGCAGCCTGGTTTCAGGAAAGTGCACCTACATAGAGACGCGAGTTTAAAAACAACAGAGTTCAGATCAGAACTGTACATGGTGCCTATATAACACAGAGCTCTATTTATATGCACTAAACACAGCCAAAATAGAAGTGGAATACTGTATATAATAAGAAATATCACATCTCCAAAATGGACTGGCATTATAGGTGCATCAGATATGGATTTTCCAAAGAGATCGGAGAGTAACAGACTGACACACAGAAACGCAGCCTCTCCTCTGCATCATGCCAAGCTTTTCCACAAACAAAGCCTTTTTATAATCCGCTATAGAACGTGGAATATACAGTGCATAGTTTACAGCCAAAACTTGCAGCCTAAATATTCAAATGGAAACATCCTCATATACACGCATTATAATACAACTTTATAAAAAAACAAAACAAACAAAAAAACATGAGTTTTGTAATTACTAAATGAGTGAATCTCACAAAAACTGTCAGTCATTTTTCAACAACAACAACAAAAATGATTGCATAATAAAGATTTATTATCATAAACATTATTATTATTATACACATTTAAACCACCCAAATTTCAGTAGGCTAATTTCTATTAAAAATCTCACAAAAACTTTCAGTCATTTTTTATCCCAAAAGAAAAAAAACCCTGCATAATAAAAAGTAATTGAAGCATGTATTTTTATTATTATATTACTATATTATTTTCAAGATTCAATTAAACACATCTAAACCACCCAACTGTCAGTAGCTTAAATAAAACATTGTATAAATATTTTTAAAAATTATTAATAATTAAATACAAATAATTTATATGAAATACAAATTATATATATATATATACCAAAAAAGAAATATAAACCAATATAAGTGTAAAAAATAACAAGCAACAAATAATAATAAAAATAACAAAAATAATATTCTTATTAAGTATTTTTGCCTCTTGTTTTCCAGTACAAATATCTAAACATTCTGAAATCAGGATACATTTACTTGAGCAACAATATATATATATGTGTGTTCATATTTTGGGGGTTATTTAATTGTTATGAAAATACAGTCACAATTGTTTGTGATAATTAATTTGTACAACATCTAATTGCATGTTTCTAAATGACCTGGACATTTCTTTTTGAGATTCACCCAAATCATAAGCTACTGTAAAACCGAATTGTTTGTTCTTGCTTCCGTTCATCATGTTGAGTCTGAATCTTCACTGTAGGAATAAAGTCTCTTGATTTGGAGATTGTTTTAGTCTCCGTCACATTAGTCTCTCATTGTTAACCCAGTTTTTTGGTTATTTTTACAGCGTGGAAGAATTTCAGGAAAAAGTGCTCATCTCATCTTTGTTCTTCGGGCCTTTTTAGTCTTTAAATAGAGACACGATCAATGTGTAATGTTGAATGCGTTTTCATACAAAGATGCTGGCAGCATCAGAATTACTGTGCATCAGTGTGTGTGTGTGTGTGTGTGTGAGTGTGAGTATGTGTGTGTGTGTGTGTGTGTGTGTGTGTGCATGTTTATGTGGTTTATGAGGACACAAATGTGTATAATAACATGGGTATGACATAGGTATTACAACGAGAAGGTGATTTATGAGGACATTTTCAGTGTCCCCGTAATTCAAAAGGCTTATAAATAATTCAGAATGAGTTTTTTTGAAAATCTAAAAATGCTGAAAGTCTCCTGTAAGGGGTAGGTTTAGGGGTAGGGTTGGTGTAGGACAATAGAATATACGGTCTGTACAGTATAACAACCATTACACCTATGGAGAGTCCCCATAAACCATAAAAACAAACCTGTGTGTGTGTGTGTGTGTGTGTGTGTGTGTGTGTCAGTATCTTACAGTGTTTGACATTTAGTCAGCAACTCTTAGTGAGTAAAACAAAAGTGGCTGATTTTAATCTGTACAGACTGCCTGTGTATACAACATCAAATATATTGTTTGCCATTGTTTCCCAATTCACTTCCTAAAATGCTTTTGTTCATACTGCACTCAAATCCACTCTTCAGGACCGTCTGCTTGTCATTTCTCATCAGATGTGTTTGTTCAGACAGTGTAGTTAATATCAGGTGTATCTATAGTAATAACTGAAGCGTTATTACTATTCTTATTTTAAAAGTCACTGTGGAAAGAAAGGTCAAAAACATCTGATTTTATGCATTTATGCTGTTTAGACTATAAAAAATGGAATGAGTGGATTTGAGTCAGATAAACCAAAAAAAATGAATAAAATTAATAATGATTTTCATTTTCTGACTGAATAAAGCCTATGTTAAAGGTGAAGTGTGTGATTTCTGCATCACCAAACATAACTGTAACAATAATAAGCAACAAATGTAATAATAATAACAATAATATTAATTGTAACAGAAAGTCCCACAAAAAATATGTTTACTTGAAGCAAAATGACATAAAAAAATACCAGTTATTTTTTTCATAAAACACGAAGAAAAAAACTGCCAGTGAGGTCACAAAAATAATCATGTTTTCCCTTAAATATAGTATTATATATATTAAATATATTATTAAATATCGACAAGTTTGAGTCAGATAAACAGAAAAAAAGAAAGAATGCAAGAAAAAAAAGAAAGAAAAATACACAAATAAACAGCAAGAATGATTTTCTTCATCAGTATTTTTGTCTTCATTTCCAGTATAAATGTGTAAACATTCTTAAATTAAATTGATCAAATTGCAAAGTTTTCATTAAATTTATTTGAGAAGCAAAATGACAAGATATTAAGTCTTGGGGTTTTTTTATGTATCAAAATGAAGTGTGGTCAGAAAAATAATCAATAATTATTGAAATTATTATAAAAAATAATAATTTTCCACCTTAAATTAGGTTTATTTGTCTGACCCCACTGGCAGATATTTTGTCTGGTTTTAAGCATAAGCTTACTTCATTTTGTTAATTTTGTCATATAAAAGATAGCATTTTGTTCATTTTACCCTCTCAAGTCATTGTATTTTAATTTAATAATAAATATATATGTGACCCTGGACCACAAAACCAGTCATAAGGGTCAATTTTTTAAAATTGAGATTTATTAATAATCTAAATGGCCGAAAATCTGGAATCTGAGGGTGCAAAAAAATCTAAATATTGAGAAAATCATCTTTAAAGTTGTCCAAATGAAGTTCTTAGCAATGCATATTACTAATTAAAAATTAAGTTTTGATATATTTACTGTAGGAAATTTACTAAATATCTTTATGGAACATGATCTTTACTTAATATCCTAATGATTTTTGGCATAAAAGAAAAAATGTATTTTTGGCTATTGCTACAAATATCCCCCAGTGACTTAACACTGCTTCTGTGCTGCAGGCTCACATATATCTGTACTGGAAAACAAAACCAAAATACTGAGTAAGAAAATAAATCATTTTTATCCAGTGCAATTACCCACTTCACCTTTGACATGATTTTTGTTCAGTTTTTTCATCCTAACATGTATGCATGGACCGTCCTTGCCACATAACCAGCCGGAAACCCTCTGCACTAAATCTGCACGTTATATAGTGGTTTTCTTCAGCACAGATCCTGCAGTAGAAAGGGAACGTGGGCGTCCTGTGCAGTTGAGATGTTTCTTTCGTCTCTCCTCCGTACCTTCACTGGGTCTCAGAATCCGGGGCTGTCGCAGCTGCTCTGGCTGCAGTAACTCCTGGAGCGGCTGCGGCTGCGGCTGCGGCTGCGGCTGGAGCTGCTGTGACTGCTGTAGTTACTGCGGCTGCGACTGGAGCTGCTGTAGCTGCTGGCCGAGCTGGAAGAGGACGGGCTCGGCCGGTAGTACGGGATGGGACGCTTTCGTGCGCTGCGGAAAAGATGGAAGAGGGAGATCATATAATACAGACACATAATAGCATAAAATAAAAATAAAAACATCAGCACTTTAATACCACTTTGACCACTCAATAGCATGAAATATAATTTATAATAATAATAATTCATGCATTTGGCAGACTAAATCAACTTACAGTGCATTCAGGCTATACATTTTTTTACCAGTATGTATGTTCCCTGGGAATCGAACCCATGACCTTTTGCACTGCTCTACCACTGAGCCACAGGAACATAAATATACACTGATAGAAATATATACTGTGCCATCCTTTTGCATAAAAATTACCATAGTTTGCCATGCAATATGTCATAATATGAAACAAAACTAGATTTTGGAGTGTTGCTAGAGGTAGAAACTATGGTTGCTTTGGTGCATTTACATTGTTTTACATTAGCTAGTTTCTTGCTGGTCCAATGCTTTCTACTAGCTTGACCAAGCTGGTTTACCAGGTCAGTTTCACCCTCACCAGCTGGCAGTCCAGCTTATCACTCATCTTTTAGATGCTACAGACCCCCAAATATGACCATCTTCAAATGTAAAAGGTATCTATATAGTTATCTATCTATCTATCTATCTATCTATCTATCTATCTATCTATCTATCTATCTATCTATCTATCTATCTATCTATCTATCTATCTATCTATCTATCTATCTATCCATCCATCCATCCATCTATATATTACATTATTACAGTTACATTATGATGTTGTTTTTCAACTCATTACTGTACTGTTATATTTATTATTTATTTTTTTGTGTTTATTTTAATCAGCTTTTTATAAATAATTTATTTTTACATTTTGTACACTTAGAATGATTATTTATTGTACTAATTTATTTACATATTTTAATTAAAATTTCAATTTAATTTTTTTATTTATTTTCATTTCTAATTTATTTATTTCTAATTTGTCTATTTTTTATTTAAATTTCATTTTTACATTTTGTACACTGTTTTTGAGTAGAATCATTATTTATTTATTAACTTGCTTCTTTTAATCTAATTTTTATTTATTTTAATATGAATTTCATTTATTTTTACATTTTATTTTTATTATATATTTATTTTTATATTGTGTTTTTGAGATGGTTTTTGAAAAATGTATTCGTTATTTTATACGATTTTTATTTTTTTTATCTGATATTTTAAATCAAATTTTTATTATTGATTTATTTGTACATTTTTCACACTATTTTTTCACCTAAACTTTTCCCAGACCCCAGTATGAAAACCCCTGATCTAGACCAGCTTATGACCGCATAGGACCAGCTAGAAATAATACAAAACTAGTAACCATCAATAGAAGGTTTCAGCTTTAACATATTCCAACAAAACAAAGTAATCTCAGTCTGCATTTTAATAAACATATCATGATGTTGTGGTCAAAGCGGTGGAAGTGCCAGCGTCCTGCAGCTATGATTAGTTTCTGTAAGAGAACATGTCCGGAAAAGGTTCAGCTTTGGTTAGTGAGTGTTAAGAGCATCCTCATCATCATGTAAACAGACCGTAAATACACACACGGGCTCTGTCTCCAATGAGAAACATCAGTTCTTAGACCATGTTAGACACACATTCACACTCCAGTAGCGTTCAGTGTTTGCAGTGAGCGGCTGTTAGCTGGATCTGTGTGCCTGTGAGGTTAGCAGAGACGCTCAAGCTAAAGAGATCTGTGACATACCCTACTGTAGTCAGCAGTATTTTAAGGCTTCATATACTGTTCTAGGTTGTTAACAAGAACACTTTAACGTCATTATGTTTCAATAATCTTCCGTCAAAGAAGCTTCATAGAATCTGTTGCTTATTTTGATGTGTTGACTAACATACTAAAACTTTTTTTTTAATACATTTTTTAAAATATCTTATGTTTATAATAAATATATTTATATATTTGAAATAATCTATCTATTATAATAATAATAATCTATTAAAATAATAATCTAAAATAATAATCTAACAATAAAATACATAGTTAGATTGAAATCATGCTTATTTGAGTATCACATTGTCAGCTTAGCAACATGTTAACATCAAAATCTATAAGTCAGTTGTGAATGAATTGTCCTGTATGCTTCATTTGAATAACGCTGTTTGTCGATGCTTTTCAGAATGTAGTGAAGTATATACTTTTGTCAACATTGAACTCTGTAAGCCATATTGGATGGATGTTTTCACTGAGCTCATCACAGTGCATTCTGGCTCTTAGCATCTCTGTGTCAGTGAACTGTGTGGGATTGTTAGTGTTAATCTGCGAAGAGGCCTGCGAGAACTCGTTTAGTGGTGAGAACGGCAAAAGCAGAGAGAAAGGGAGTGAGACAGAATCTAAAGAGACACAGATATAGTTGTACTCTTGGGATGCTGAGAGCTGCTTCAAGAGGAAACCAGGGGGTCCCGATGCATGGCAACGGTTACCGCGGTAACCATGCAGGCAGATCAGCATCATTCTGGTGTGAGGTCGTCAAGGAAACCTTCATAAAGGAGAGAGTGAGTTCAAATCCTGACCAATCAGAGCTCAGCGGAGAAGACAAACTGTGGGAAGTCATAGTTTGCATGAGTACAATCAAATCTGTTCATAATGCTTTTGAACGTTCATTCCACAGTCCAATTTAGAAACCTGAAAATTGTAATTTAAGGAAAATGAGGACTAGCCAAATGATAATAAATTCTTATGCTGATAATATAATTTGTATTAAAGGTTTGCATCTTGTATTATCAGACTATTGGACCACAATGTAGGTCAAAGCCAGATGTAGTTTTTGTAGTTGTGCTAAAATGAGTTGCTATAAGGCGACAACACATGAGTGCAGAAATCCTGCATTACACAAACTGACCTGTAGGTGTCAGTGTTTCTTTAATTTGCATGATCAATGCCAGTGTCGGCATGAACTAAAATTAAAACCATTTAACCATTTTGGTAATCGAAATAAAGCTGAAATAAAAATATATATATTTCTTTGGTCAAAACCTTAAAACTTAAAAACTCTGAAAACGAGAAATGTTGCACTGGCAACTAAAATAAAAGTAAGTAATGCGTTTAAGTACTAAGATGACTAAAATAGAAAAAAAAATTATTTTAAATTTAATATTTTATTTATTTTTTAAATAAATAAAACCGAATAAAGCGCATAACAAAAGGACTAAAACTTAAACTAAAATTAAAATGAAAATATAAAAATAAATCAAATAAATTCAAAATGTTATTTTCACACACTAAAGAGAAAATATTATATTTATTTCAATCCCAGATTTTAATCTCATACTTCTTAACCCCAGTTTGGGTTGTAATAGATTATATGGTTTATACCTACAAAAATAAATTATAACATGCATATGGATCAGGGTTATTATAGTTGATTAAAACTAAAACCATTTTAAAAAATGTTACTTGAAATAAAATAAACATTAACTTAAATGTCAAAATATTTTTAAAAATCTTGGATTTATTTTTTTTCATCTTGCTGTCAAGGCAACATTTTCCATTTTCGTTTAGTTTAACTTGTACTAAAATGTACTAAATGATGTACTAAAATAACTACGACTAAATCAACTAAAATTAATACATAAAAATGTATAAAAACTATAGAAATATAAAAATGTATAATAATTAAAATGACAAAAACAAAACAAAAATCTAAAAATAAAATCTAATTCAAAATATTAACAAAAACATAGCACATCAACAATACTAAAATAACAGACAGAGAAAATAAAAATCCAATTCATGCTAGAAACGTTTGATCTACTGTAGTAAAAATAAATATTTGCTTGAAATATGCTTGAAAAAAGAAACATTTCCCCCTAGATGGTGTAGTTATGACATCTACCAGCAGAGGCAACCTGCAGTCAGACCTGAAATCAGCCTGTAAATGAAGAAATGACCATGCATTCCCATACAAAACAATTACTGCACCAAAAACAGAAGACATGCATTTACCTGGTGATCCTGCGGGCTTCCATAAAGCTGGGCGAGTCTCTCCTCCTCTTGCGGATGGGAGAATAGCTGCGCGAGCGGCGGTGAGCTCGTTCTGCATCCGAGTGATGAGGACTGTCTCTCTCCCTGCAGACAGACAGAAAGCATGCTGGGATTGAGAAGATTTGGCCTCGACACGTGTGTGTCTGTGTCATGCTGTCCTTCAGATGACTGGAGTTATTTGACGGAGACTGCAGAAAGATCGCTTCAGGCGCATCTGACTTTCATTTAATTTACGGAATGTTTAGGGACTGTTTTGTTGTTATTTTAAGCATAAAATGTATTGAAGGTTTATGAGTGTGTCACTTGATTTCGTCTTGTTTTCCAATACAAATATCTACAAATTCTTAAATCAAGATACAATTACTTTACAAGCAAAATGATTTAAGATATTAAGTCTTGTTTTCTGAGTGTATGCCTAAAACAAAAAATATCTGCTATTGGGGTCAGAAATATAAACTTAATTCAAAGGGAAAACATGATTATTTTTCTGACCTCATTGGCACATATTTTTTCTTATTTTAGACAAAAACTCACTTAATCTTTTACATTTTTGTTTTTCAAAAAATCTATCAAAATTAAATCAATTTGTGCGTAAAACAATATCTGCCAATGAGGTCAGAAAAAAAAATATTGTTTTCCATTTGAATTAAGTTTTTGACCTCACTGGCACATATTTCTTCTTATAAGCAAAATTTATTATTTTTAATTTTGTTCATTTTTTTCAACTCAAATTAAGTGAGTTTATGTGTAAAACAAGAAATAAAATCTGCCAATGAGCTAAAATAAACTTAAATCAAAGGCAACACAGGATAATTTTTTTTACCTCATTGGAACATATTTTTTTTTTCTTGTTTTACATAAAATCTCACTTAATTTGGATAATATTTGTGTTCTGAAAAATCAAAGTGAAGTGAGTTTATCTGCCAATAAGGTCAGAAAAAAATCAATTTAATTCAAAGGGAAAACATTACTACTTTTATTATCTCATTAGGACATATTTTTTCTTATTTTAGACAAAAACTCACTTGATTTTTTAAATTTTTGTTTTTCAAAAAATCTATCAAAATTAAATACATTTATGTGTAAAAAGAAAAATATCCACCAATGAGATCAGACATATAAACTTTATTCAAAGGGAAAACAATATTATTTTTCTGACCTCATTGGGACATATTTTTTTACAAAATCTCACTTAATTTGGATAATTTTTGTGTTCTGAAAAATCAAAGTGAAGCGAGTTTATCTGCCAATGAGGTCAGAAAAATAAATTTAATTCAAAAGGGAAAACCTTTTCTGACATATTTTTTGTTTTAAGCAATATCTCAATTGATTTTTTTTATATATCTTGTCATTTTGCTTGTAAAGCAAATCTGTCTAGATTGAAGAATGTTGGCAAAACAAGGCAAAAATACAGAGTGAGCGCATGCTGGTTGTGACATCACACTTACCCCATGAATATTAAAGAGTTTCCCTTATGCATGTGCATTTTTCTAAAAAAGTAAAACCTTTGTCCTGTAGGATGTGTGTGTGTGTGTGTGTGTACCTGGAGTTGTTCTGTCGGACGTGTGGTGATTTGTTCTTGCTGGATCCGTGTTCTCTAGAATGAGCTCGTGACGATGATCTCCCGCTGCTCCAGGAGCTGCTGCGCTGCCGGGCCGTCCCGTGACTCTTGCCCTTCTTCTTCTTGGACGTGTGTTTGTGCCGACCCGGCGACACAGAGGCGCTCCGGTGGCGATTCTGTCCGTGATGGTGCCGCTTAGACGAATGAGACCCTTTCCTTCTGTGTGAGAATACAGTGATAGATTCGAGAAATAGATTTGCTTTTCATCACTCGAGAGGCTTAAAAGAGATCTCAGTTTTTGGTTTATTTAGGGATGTACTGTAGATGTTTCTCCTAAACTTACCCAAATCGACCATACAGCAAGTGTAAAGAGCTATAAAATTAATGTTGAGCAGTTCAGATCATTTGACGAAAAATGTTTGAGTTGGTGTTGAGACTTTTGATTGCAGACTTTGTTTGTTAAATATTTTGGCAAATCTTTGCACAGCTGCATTCAAGCTAAAGCTGAATGTGACCCTGTTTTTTAAAATAACAACAGCAAAAATCACATTTAATCAGACATTTTGCATTATGATCTGGGCCACTTTCTGATATGGAAATAAATGGGACGTGTTTCTGATTTCTGTGACTTCAGTGTGAACAGAATATTACTTACTCAATAGTTGTCATAACTGCATGCTTAATGTACCATTGACATCATAAAAGAATCAATAATTGTATTATATGCAGTATTACATAGAAATGTGCAAAAACATTTGTTCAAATTGTGAAATATACACTACTGGTCAACAGATTGGAATAATAATTACAATCAATCAATCAATCAATCAATCAATCAATCAATCAATCAATCAATCAATAAATCAATAAATAAATAAATATATATTTTTTTTAAGAAAGAGCTTTCTTCTGCTCACCAAGGCTTTATTTATTTAATCAAAAATACAGTAAAAATTGTAAAATATTTTTACAAGTTACAATAAGTGTTTTCTACTTTAATATATGTTAAAATGTATGACCTCATTGGCACATATTTTTTCTTATTTTAGACAAAAACTCACTTAATCTTTTACATTTTTGTTTTTCAAAAAATCTATCAAAATTAAATCAATTTGTGCGTAAAACAATATCTGCCAATGAGGTCAGAAAAAAAAATATTGTTTTCCATTTGAATTAAGTTTTTGACCTCACTGGCACATATTTCTTCTTATAAGCAAAATTTATTATTTTTAATTTTGTTCATTTTTTTCAACTCAAATTAAGTGAGTTTATGTGTAAAACAAGAAATAAAATCTGCCAATGAGCTAAAATAAACTTAAATCAAAGGCAACACAGGATAATTTTTTTTACCTCATTGGAACATATTTTTTTTTTCTTGTTTTACATAAAATCTCACTTAATTTGGATAATTTTTGTGTTCTGAAAAATCAAAGTGAAGTGAGTTTATCTGCCAATAAGGTCAGAAAAAAATCAATTTAATTCAAAGGGAAAACATTACTACTTTTATTATCTCATTAGGACATATTTTTTCTTATTTTAGACAAAAACTCACTTGATTTTTTAAATTTTTGTTTTTCAAAAAATCTATCAAAATTAAATACATTTATGTGTAAAAAGAAAAATATCCACCAATGAGATCAGACATATAAACTTTATTCAAAGGGAAAACAATATTATTTTTCTGACCTCATTGGGACATATTTTTTTACAAAATCTCACTTAATTTGGATAATTTTTGTGTTCTGAAAAATCAAAGTGAAGCGAGTTTATCTGCCAATGAGGTCAGAAAAATAAATTTAATTCAAAAGGGAAAACCTTTTCTGACATATTTTTTGTTTTAAGCAATATCTCAATTGATTTTTTTTATATATCTTGTCATTTTGCTTGTAAAGCAAATCTGTCTAGATTGAAGAATGTTGGCAAAACAAGGCAAAAATACAGAGTGAGCGCATGCTGGTTGTGACATCACACTTACCCCATGAATATTAAAGAGTTTCCCTTATGCATGTGCATTTTTCTAAAAAAGTAAAACCTTTGTCCTGTAGGATGTGTGTGTGTGTGTGTGTGTACCTGGAGTTGTTCTGTCGGACGTGTGGTGATTTGTTCTTGCTGGATCCGTGTTCTCTAGAATGAGCTCGTGACGATGATCTCCCGCTGCTCCAGGAGCTGCTGCGCTGCCGGGCCGTCCCGTGACTCTTGCCCTTCTTCTTCTTGGACGTGTGTTTGTGCCGACCCGGCGACACAGAGGCGCTCCGGTGGCGATTCTGTCCGTGATGGTGCCGCTTAGACGAATGAGACCCTTTCCTTCTGTGTGAGAATACAGTGATAGATTCGAGAAATAGATTTGCTTTTCATCACTCGAGAGGCTTAAAAGAGATCTCAGTTTTTGGTTTATTTAGGGATGTACTGTAGATGTTTCTCCTAAACTTACCCAAATCGACCATACAGCAAGTGTAAAGAGCTATAAAATTAATGTTGAGCAGTTCAGATCATTTGACGAAAAATGTTTGAGTTGGTGTTGAGACTTTTGATTGCAGACTTTGTTTGTTAAATATTTTGGCAAATCTTTGCACAGCTGCATTCAAGCTAAAGCTGAATGTGACCCTGTTTTTTAAAATAACAACAGCAAAAATCACATTTAATCAGACATTTTGCATTATGATCTGGGCCACTTTCTGATATGGAAATAAATGGGACGTGTTTCTGATTTCTGTGACTTCAGTGTGAACAGAATATTACTTACTCAATAGTTGTCATAACTGCATGCTTAATGTACCATTGACATCATAAAAGAATCAATAATTGTATTATATGCAGTATTACATAGAAATGTGCAAAAACATTTGTTCAAATTGTGAAATATACACTACTGGTCAACAGATTGGAATAATAATTACAATCAATCAATCAATCAATCAATCAATCAATCAATCAATCAATCAATCAATCAATCAATCAATCAATCAATCAATCAATCAATCAATCAATCAATCAATCAATCAATCAATCAATCAATCAATCAATCAATCAATCAATCAATCAATCAATCAATCAATCAATCAATCAATCAATCAATAAATAAATAAATAAATAAATATATATATTTTTTAAGAAAGAGCTCTCTTCTGCTCACCAAGGCTTTATTTATTTAATCAAAAATACAGTAAAAATTGTAAAATATTTTTACAAGTTACAATAAGTGTTTTCTACTTTAATATATGTTAAAATGTAATTTATATCTGTGATGCGCAGCTGTATTTTCAGCATCATTACTCCAGTCTTCAGTGTCACATGATCTTCAGAAATCATTCTAATATGCTGATTTGCTGCTCACTTACTGTTGGTGTTCAGTTATTAATAATGGTTCTTATTATTATCAATTTTGAATACACTAAGTATTTAATATTTTTGTACTGACAGTTTTTAGGATTATTTGATGATAGAAAGTTAAAAAAATAACAGCATTTATTTGAAATTGAAATATAAACTTTACTGTCATTTTTTATCAATTTAATCCATCCTTTTGAATAAAAGTATTAATTTATTTTAAAAAAAAATACTAAACTTTAGAATGATGGTCTACAGTATATCAGTTTCTCAATCTCTAATCAGAATATTAGAATGATTTCTGAAGGATCGTGTGACACTGAAGACTGGAGGAATGATGCTGAAAATTCAGCTTTGATCACAGAAATAAATTACATTTTACAATATATCCACATAGAAACCAGCTATTTTAAATTGTAATAATATTTCAAATTTTTTCTGTATTTTAGATCAAATAAAGCCCCAGACTTCTTTCAAAAACATAAAAAAACTAACTTATTCTTATATATGTAACTTCTGACCGGTAGTGCAAACATCTGTATAAACATGTTAAATGTTCTTACTTCTTCTGATTCTTGGTTTTGGTGTGTGGCTCAGTGTCGCTGCTGTGCGCCGGTGAGTGCGACGCCTTCTCTCGAACCCTTGGCCTCCCGCCGCGTCTCCTCAATGACTCTGAGAGCGGTTTGCCCATCGCTGGCCTGTCGTCTGCGCAGCCGTCCCCTCCCGTCTGCGCCGCTGGTCCTCCAGGGCTCTTGGGACGGTCGGCGTGGTGTTTAGCACCTCTTAGATGAGGAGACGTGTGCGTCTGCACGCTCGAGGGAGACGGAGCCAGAGATCGAAGCTTCTGTAGATGAATTATAACCAACAAATAAAAGGAAAAAAATAAATAAATGTGAAAAAAAAAAACAGAAAGAGAACAGTGAAATTAGAGTCTTTTTCCTCCTGGGTGGAAGAGCGTTATCGTGTACTTGGCAAAAAAATATCTAAAAGAAAGTGCTAGGATTGTTCTCTGGCTTATAGACAGTCCTCTATTGTGCAGCGCATGCAATACTCGGCATGCAAAACCATAATGATTTGAAAAGAATAGTCCCGAAAGAAAATCGAAACAAAAAAGGGAGAGAGGGAAAATATGCGAAACTCTGAAAAAAAAAGTTTAGAGAGAATATAAAGAGTAAAAGAGACTGGAGAATATACAGTAGAAGAGAAAGAGGACTTTGTCAATTTCAGAAAGAGCTACAAACAAAAAGGTGAAAAATAAAACTAGAAAATAAAAAA